TAAAGCAAATGCAAGTTATTTAATCAACATTAATTTTAAAAAGAATAAGGAAAAATGGGAAAGGTTAAAGGAAACACATCAACCCACTCTGTGCCAGGGAACATCACAAACAGTGTCTCTGGAATGTCAGGGCAGTTCACAGTCTATTCCTTGTAAGTCCCAGGCCCCCTTCTCAGGCCCTGGCTGTGCTGTAGGGATGCTGTGAGTTGGTTGGACACTTGCTCTGGTGGTGGCCACACGCTCTCAGGGTCTAAGTGGTAGGACCCTTCTTCCCAGTGTCGCCCCCGCCCTGTCGGGGTTACGATCCAAGCCTGGCCTACAGAGCCTCTTGGCTGAGGCATCTCCCTGTGCTGGGCCCACTGCCCAGGGTTCCCCTCGCTCTCCTCAGCTGCTCACCGCACCCAGCTCCGGACTGCTCTAGCCCCAGCTCCACCACTCTGTCTCTGCACTGCTGCTGCTGCTCTGCCTCCAGCTCCCTGGGCTGCTTCTTTGGCCCCTCTAGCTCTGGTTGCTGCAGCTCTGCTCCCAGGACAGGTCTGCTCTGCAGGCTGCTTCTGTGACTCTGCTCCCAGCACTGACCTGCTTCGTGGGCTGCTTTTCTGGCCCCTCTGGCTCTCGTTGCTGCAGCTCTGCTCCCAGGGCAAGTCTGCTCTCTCTGGGCTGGGCCTCTAGCTTTGGGGATGCAGCTCTGCTCCCAGGACAGGGTCTGCTCTCTCTGGGCTGCTTTTCTGGTCCCTCTGGATCTGGCCCAGCTCTGCTCCCCAGATGAGCTTGGGCCCCTGCCTTCTCCTTAGCTCGGCCCCACTCTGTCTGACCCAGGCAAATCCAGCTCACACGGAGGACGGGACCTCCCTGGCCTCCTGACTCCCTGATTAGCCTGCTCGCCCTGTCATTCAGGCTGACCTGCAGCACTGGCCTCTCCCCATTGTACCTGGGGACTGTCAGTCTCAGGGTCCTGATTCCCCATCAACCCTTCCCCTTTGAGTACTGGGAGCTAACAACTAAAACACCCCCACTGAATGTTAGTAAGGGGGCAACAGTCCCCTTACACAAAGACTGGGGAGAATAACTAACTATAGAAATGTTAATGAAATAATGGTCACAAACGGACTGCTAATAGCTCCATCTCCAGCCAAAGGCGGTTGAGAAGGAACTGAGGGGGGTTAGCCTGTGCATGCTGGCTAGCCTCATGGCAGGGCACGAGGAGAGACAGCTCATGTGCGGGCCTACTGGATGCTGTTACTGAAGTCCTCCGATCATCAGCACAGGAATGCAAGCACACCTTCAGTGGCGCACCCATAGGGACACTACTGAAAGAGGAATGATTCCTTACACAGTGTGTGTAGGATGTTCAGAAAACTGGGTCACTTACACCCCTGTTTATGTAACTGCTGAATTTGGCCCAGAGACTTCTAGAGTAAGCAGGTAAAATTTTTATGGACCTGAATTTGGCTCCAAGGGTATGTCTGCACTCAGAGCTGGGCATGTGAGGCCCAGCTCCAGAAGACATACTTGTGTTGGCTCTCATTGAGCTAGCATACTAAAAAGTATTGTAGCTGCAGTAGTGTGGGCAACGGCGGGAGAGGCTAGCGGCCCAGACTACAAACCTGTCCAGACTGGACCCCATGTGGACGTTCTTTGTGTGGTGAGCGCAAGCTTCTGCCTGCACCACTGTGGGTGCCTGGCTATTTTTAGTACACTAGCTGGATGTGAGCTGGCACGAGTATGTCTCCTCAAACTGGGAATCACACCTCCAACTCCAATTGTAGACAGATCCCGAATGTTAACCTCTTGCTTTGCACACACAAGAATGAAATCTGCTTCAGTACATTGTCCCCTTGGAATGAGTGTACAAGTCTCATAAACTGTACATGCTGAAAGGGCTTGGTTGAAACATAGTGCTAGATAGTAGCTATCTGAATTGTATATGTTTACTTACATTTAGACAATGCCAGTTAACCCAGTCAACTCTGGCTGTATCAGCTGCTCACACAAAAGCCACAATGAGCAGGACAATAGACCTTCAAGATGCTGAAATGGCATTGGAGTTGGTTCAAGTTGCTTCCTTCAAGAAGGTGAAGCTGTAGTATTCTAATACAATTAACTTTTAGTTTAGAAATTTGATGGAATTACTAGAAATTTTAAAATTATCTTAAAGGTCTTGGGGAACCAGAAAAAAAAAGAAAAGTAAATGAAGAGAACGAGGATAAGGGGTCAAGCCAAGAAGCGCTTAGTCAATATGGCATCAAGTAAAACCAAAACAAACAGCAACAAAAAACCCTAGCTTCTGTGGAGCAGGTGAATTTTTTTTTTAATGTTCTCTTGAAGGAAGAGCTCCAGACATAAGAAAAGTCATGAACTGAAAGCACTTCAGGACTCCTACTTTTTCACCAGTAAAGATCATACCCAGCCTGGGGAGCTGGAACAATTTGTACAGTAGGGGTGCTGAGAGCCATTGAACCAAACTGTAAACCCTGTACATAATGGAAACCCATTCCAAGCCCGGGGGTGTTGCAGCACTCCCAGCACCCCTAGTTCTAGCACCTATGTACCCAGCCAAGTATGTAATAATCTTAATAAAATATACCTTAAAAAATACCTTTTTTAAACTCATGAGCTGGAGTGGGATGTCTAGTTTACTCCATATAGGGCTTGAGCTGTACGTTAACTGTAACACCTTGATGTCTCAGAGTCCTGTGGCACCTTATAGACTAACAGACGTATTGGAGCATAAGCTTTTGTGGGTGAATACATGCATCTGACGAAGTGGGTATTCACCCACGAAAGCTTATGCTCCAATATGTCTGTTAGTCTATGAGGTGCCACAGGACTCTTTGCCGCTTTTACAGATCCAAACTAACACGGCTACCCCTCTGATACCTTGATGTGTGTTTATTGACAAAATATTAATTAACAACTTGAAATGTGTTCACCTCCTTCCTTCCAAGATTTGTTTTAGCTCATCTAAAAAGTTAAAATGTTTCACTAAACGTGATAGAACCTCTGTAGGGAAATTTTCATTTTGAGATAATGTGAGTCAGGTCTTTGGGAAGACTATATAAGACCAGATCTTGATATATCTTCAGTGCTGGTTTTACTAGAAATGGTCATATTGCAATTCAGCTTCATCCCGTCAGATTAGAACTTCAAGGTAAGTTCCTGTTGACAGTGAAGACATTCCCAAAATGCAGCACTTTATCACCCAACCCAGATGTGTTTTTAATTCCCCACCCTATTTGTATAGAAAAATAGTATCAACAGTTGGTTAAGCTCTGGTGTGTTCTGATGGTTATCCCTCCCCATAAAAAAACCACCTTTAGTCTCCTAATTTTATGCAGTCTTCATCGACTGCTATTTGAGGCCAGCAGGACTTAGTGTATGATTAAGTGTTTGATTGAATCTGGGCCTTCGTCAGTGGAGTACTATATACCTTAAGCTTTCTCGCTCTGATAGAGCTAGTCATGTTAGAGTTCAGGTGGCACATTTATTTACAGGCCTCTTAAGAATAAATTTGATAAGCTTCTGACTCAAATATTATATCTGAAGTCCTACGTCTTGTAGTTTGTTTAAAATTATGAAAGGCTGATTGTTTACAACATTCCATTCTTAAATATTTTTAGCCAGAGCTAGTTGAAACATATAAAATCATAAGACTTTTTTGTGTGTCTGCTGTTGCATAAATCCACGCAAATCTGTCTCCTTATTTTAAGAGATGGGGCATTTTCGACTACTTACATGCAAATTGATCAGTGAGGTGCCTCAAACAAGGAAGTTATTTCAAGTCAGATACAGTATGATACAGATATATATTTTTAATCCACCCTGCTTATTGCCTCTAATCACCCTTATTAGTTTTGCCTGACTGTTCTCTGTAGTCTTCAGCTCCAACAAAGGCTAATAGAAAACAGCTAAAAATGCTTTAAAAATATTAGCTGCATTTTCAGACAATGTTGTTGAAATGCCTTCACCATAGAGCTGATGGGAAAATGGTAACTATTTTACACACAAAAAAATCTAAAGAAATGAAAATTTTTTGGATTATGATTTTTGGAAAAATTTGAAAACTGAAAAATTTTACTAATCAAGTTGTATTTGCTATTATATAAATACTTTTTTCAAGTACTTAGTATCTAAAATATGTACTGGTGAATTGCCTACAGATCTGCAAAATCTCTTGGCACGTTCTTTGTAGAAAGTTACACCTCTGGGCACTGTACATACAAATCTACATAATACAGTAGATCACTAATTTCTCGTGCTCAACTTGATAAGCCCAGAGATGAAGGATGGCCTAATAGCTAGAGTGCTAGCCTGGAACTGGAATGACCAAGGTTCAGATCCTTTTCTACCAAAGTCTTCCTGTGTGACCTTGCTTTAGTCTGTTCATCTCTCTTTGCCTCAGTTTCATATCTATAAAATGGGGATAATACTTTCCTACCTTGAGGGATTGTGAGGATACACTGAGATTGTGAGGTGCCCAGATACTACTATAGTGGGAGTCATATAAATAATTTAGTTAGCAATACTAGGTCTTGTGTCTGATGTGCTGTGTTGTACTGACTATTACCAATATTGTTTTATTGAACTTCCCTGTGTCTCTGTGTCCATCTGACTCTTGCCTTATATTGAGATTGTCCCTACCCCAAGGAGTTTAATCATGTTCTGTGATTGTACACCGCGTAGCACATTGGGGTCCTGATCCATGACTAGGGCTCCTAGGTGCTACAGTAATATAAATAAATATAAGAAATTTCAAATGATGTGAAATTTAGCATAAACACTTTTCTAGAACATCCCGTTTCCTGAAATACGATGTATATTTGCATTAATAAAAATAAATAACAGCCTTGTGTAGGATGCAGGTAACTTGCAGAGTAAAATGAAGAATATCTATTGCTGAAGGACATATGAAAGACAATTTCGATCTCAAACAAATTAAATACAAACATATTCCAAGAGCGATAGTGAATATGCTGAATAATAGTAATTGTCTGAGCATGTCAGTGTTTAAAATTTATTTAAAAAATTACAGGTGATATTATCACTAATACGCACCATCATTAACACTCTGGAAAAATAGAGATGTGTTTTCTGTGAAACAAGTACACTGGAACTTGAGTGTTCTAAAAAGTCTGTCCTTTTTCCTTAAAACTGTTCTCACTTTTGCCAGATGTAAAGAGGTTAAAGCAGCTCTTCTGAAAGCATTCAGAGCAACTTGCTCACAATATATCCCTGTTCCTCAGCTTGTTCACTCTATAAACAGTGGAAATAATCAACCTTTCAAATCTAAGGAAGTGTGGTGTCTCTTGGACAAGATGCAAAAAGACAGTCAAGTCATGGTGTCGGATAATGTTGTATTTATCATTTAGTGCTTAGCTACTTTCATGTACTCAGGTCTTTGAAGCTAGTCTTGTTTTGAATGTTTTGTACAATAAAAATATGCAGCTGCCAGCAACGTCTCATGAATCAGTTCATGAAAATGCATCAGGAGCATTTAGTAGGTGTACATGTTTACTTGGATTTGTATGCCAAGCTGAGGTGCCAGCAGCCCAATGAGACAGTGTCTAATTGTTGTCTTGGTAAAATGGATAATCTAGGCTGCCTGGTGAGACTTCAACAGATTTTAAAAAATCTAGTCTCTCTTTGTTCTGTATATCTTCACCATGTTCAGGGAGATTTAAAGCAAATGTCAGATATCTCACACAATGACACATTTCCACGTGCGATGAGTAGAAGCCGTAAGCCTACCAATTTCAGACACTTTATTGGTCTTGTCATAGTACCCAGACGTTATCTAAGATGATGCTTTATTTTTCATTCTTAACAGATTTTAGCAAAATGACTAAGATGAACTATAACTGTAAAATAATTGTGTGATTGAGACATCCAGGTGACTTCAAACACTGATCTTTTGGTCATTGGCTTTTATGTCTCAGATTTCATTCATTTTATGTCTCAGATGTTCATTCTGTTAAATGAAGAAAATGCATCTTATAACTAAAGGAAATGCCAAAACTTGAATGACTCTAGAAACACAAACAACAATTTTCAGGAACAACATTAAACAGTATAATTTGAGTGCAGATCAAGACGAGGTAAGAGACAGAAATTTTAGGGGAAAGTGAATCTTTGTCAGTATCCTGTTGGAAGACTTGTACTACATTATTGCTGTTCTCTATATTTAGGGTATGCCTGTGCCTTGCTATGGATGTTGGGATTAGCCAGTTCATCCTTGCTGTATTTTGAGCTTTCATCTTGATCAGATTGGAAGAAAGAGTTTCCTCAGTTTACATATGTACAACTCCCTGCCTCGAAGACTGCCAGAGACCCTGTGTTATTCAAGACACAGTGAAGGCCACCTGATTCGGTGATTCTGGTTTATAAAACAGTTTTAACCTGCTCTCTTCTTTAGTGTTAATTTTTATTTTATTATTTTAACGTATTATATCAAAAAACTTGTATTTGCAAAAGGAATCGCCATTGGGCAGAGATGCTTGTCATCCTGTGCAGTAACCCACATGTTTTAAGATGAAATAAAATAATAAAAATAGTGGAAAATGCAGTAGCAGATCAGATGTTTTAAGTTTGGGAATGACCGAGGACAGAGGAGATGAGGACAGTTACCAGTTGGAAATCGGGTTTACAAACAGTGAGAGAGATGCGTGTGTATAATATATAATCCTGGCTTCTGTGAAGTCAGGAGCAAAACCTCCATTAACTTCAGTGAGGTCAAGATTTCACCCATCATGACTCAGTGCATTTTCCTTCACTTTTTAGGTTAACTTTAATTGCTACTTTATACAGGGATGTAAAGCTTTAACAGTGGATATCTGAAAAACATTTTCTTGTAGCTAATAAAATGGTGTATACTGTAAGTTACAGGCTTTTTATTTGATCTTTTTTAAGTATCAAGCCAGAGTGTCCTGGATATCTTCTTTTCCCCCTGACATTTGTTCAGCTCTTGTTCATTTAAGTTCAACTATATCACCTATTCAGCACACAATTATTTTGCGAAAAAGCCTTGTTTAGAAAATACCTGAATCTTTTAACTAAAAAGACAATACTTACGTTTTCTAAAATCCAAGCTTCTTTGTTTTTTATCATTTTTTGGTGGTATTTCTTCTTCATGCAACATGTGCTTATAATAGTGACAAGGAGCATAATGACAAATACAGCCATTGTCGAGGAAACAGCTATTATAATATTTTCTTTAGTTGAGCCTCTCCTCTCACACTTTTCTCCCATATACCACCAGTCATTACCTGCTGGACATCTATAAAATAAGAGCAACACCTATTTGACATCTAACAAAAATTAAAGAAAGATACAGTTCTGTAAATTGTAGGTTCATTATTAGTATACACTAAACCCTCATGATGCAATCTAACTCTGAATTAAAGTTGCTCTATGGGGTATTCCCATCTGTATATACACAGAGAGCTGCCACCTTGCTGCTGTTTCCCTTTGCTATCGTGTTCCAGATGGAGCCACTCTAGTTGACAGCCTTCTAGGGAAAGTCTAAAGATCAGACTGGTTGATCATTCTGATTACTTTAGTAGTTGACTTAGTTGTATATGTCCCTCTAAAAAAAAAAAAAAACCCACCACTGAAAAGGCACAACCTATGAGGAGAATTTAGTGTCCTTGGACCTCTTCCCCCCCTCTGGCTGCTGATTAGCTCTTCTTTTCCCCCTTGAACTGATGACATTCCAGGTAATACAAAATTAATTTTCTACTCCTGGAAACTGGTGCTACTATCAGCAGAGCTGTTATGCGGCTTGCCTGTGTTACTGTTAATTCATTGTACTGACCTGCTGCTGTTCTGCCCACCTGCCATGCTCATCTCCTCTCTGTTGCACTTCTGTTTCCTTCAGCCAATCACTTCAAAAAAGTGTGTGGATGGGAGCAGAAGGTTATCAACAAAAGCAGCTCAACCAACCACCTAGTGCCTTACGCTATCCTTACAATTCAAAAGCACTCAATTAGCATGTTCTAGCAACCCTCTTCTTCTGCACCCCCACCTCTTCCTCTCTCCCTATCAATTAAGCTCATCTGTCAATTTTTAAACTGGAAGACCATCAGGACAGGAACTATGGACCAAATTGTCAGGTCTGACCAAGTAGTGTTTGGCACAGGAGCTGGGGTTGAGGAAGCAAAGGTAACTTCACCCCTGTTGTACCCCAATTCTGTGGATGGCCCAACTGAAGATGCTTCAGTCATGTCCCCTTTCCTTGGCCAGGCTTCCTCACCCAGATGTTGGTGTAGGGCTGCCACCTGGGGATTTTCCTTATGCTGGGGCAACTCCAAAAGATATTGGTACGACTTAAACAGAGCTGGACCATCGCACCAAAAAGTAGAAATGGTCTTCTGTTCTAAAGAACTACTATTGGAGAATGGTGTGGATTGCACCCTCAGCCAGTTTGCAGACGACACTAAACTGGGAGGAGAGGTAGATACGCTGGAGGGTAGGGATAGGATACAGAGGGACCTAGACAAATTGGAGGATTGGGCCAAAAGAAATCTGATGAGGTTCAGTAAGGACAAGTGCAGAGTCCTGCACTTAGGACTGAAGAATCTAATGCAGCGCTACAGACTAGGGACTGAATGGCTAGGCAGCAGTTCTGCAGAAAAGGACCTAGGGGTTACAGTGAACGAGAAGCTGGATGTGAGTCAACAGTGTGCCCTTGTTGCCAAGAAGGCCAATGGCATTTTGGGATGTATAAGTAGGGGCACTGCCAGCAGATCGAGGGATGTGATCGTTCCCCTCTATTCGACATTGGTGAGGCCTCATCTGGAGTACTGTGTCCAGTTTTGGGCCCCACACTACAAGAAGGATCTGGAAAAATTGGAGAGAGTCCAGCGGAGGGCAACAAAAATGATTAGGGGACTGGAACACATGACTTATGAGGAGAGGCTGAGGGAACTGGGATTGTTTAGTCTGCAGAAGAGAAGAATGAGGGGGGATTTGATAGCTGCTTTCAACTACCTGAAAGGTGGTTCCAAAGAGGATAGATCTAGACTATTCTCAGTGGTAGAAGAGGACAGGACAAGGAGTAACGGTCTCAAGTTGCAGTGGGGGAGATTTAGGTTGGATATTAGGAAAAAAATTTTCACTACGAGGATGGTGAAACACTGGAATGCGTTACCTAGGGAGGTGGTGGAATCTCCTTCCTTAGAAGTTTTTAAGGTCAGGCTTGACAAAGCCCTGACTGGGATGATTTAATTGGGGATCGGTCCTGCTTTGAGCAGGGGGTTGGACTAGATGACCTCTTGAAGTCCCTTCCAACCCTGATATTCTATGATTCCTTCTCCTTAGCCAGGACTGCTACTGTCCCCAGGAGATATAAGTTATGGCACATGGAGCAGGTGTTCCTGAGGTTTTTATTGAAAGATATTACTGTAAATTTACAATACAACTGCCACTTTTCTTCTAATCCATAAGCCTGGCAGCCCTACAGGCTGCAGTTTGTGGCTGTCTGGCCCCTTTAAACTCCCTGTCTATTAAATTATGGCCACATTTCTAGAAAAGGATCCACTTGCATAGAAACTATAAGCTCACATGAAGTGTATTGGCTTCAATGAGATTTTGCATGATCAGGGCTTAAATTAAAAGCTTGATGCACTTGGCCTTCAGAATTCTGCCTCACAGCAGTCCCAAGGTGTGCATGCTCTGGCATGACATTGCTATACTACTAACCAATGGAAAGGATGATGATACTGAGATCTGGAACAATGTTAACCAATCAGATTGCATATGTTAATGAATCTACCTTGCTTAGCTATAATAAATTCCAGAAATGCTGCTATACACTTCCTTGAAGGCAAAAACCTAGTTTAGTCATCAAACTTCCTGTCCCCTTTAGTTTCAAAGGCAAGCTGTTACACTTTTGAAATTCAGAGCCATAATCAGGATCACCTGATATTTCTGAAAGAACTGTTCAGAATGCATGTAACAATACATGGGTTGACTTCTTGTTTCAAAAATATAAATTTCCTTGAGATTACATTTAACTTCTGTTTCATCTCCATTAATATTTAACCCTCAGTTTAGGATGAGGTAATCCTTAACTATGATAACACATTAACAAAGCCATTAAAAATAAATATAGATTAAAAACAGAATACTTTAAAATAGGGAAAGACTGAGACTGGGAAAAGCTGTGTTGCCCAAACTGGTCACAGATTTAGTCAGGATTTGTGATGTTAGACATTCGCTGTATTAAAACCAGCCAGTCTTCTCTGCGGGTAACAAGTTTAATTTATTTTCTTAAATGATTAAACTCTACTCCACGGTTTTCTTTCTGATCACAAAATTCACCTTGGGATTGAAGTAAGTTAGTTACCTGCACACTGGTTTTTCATCGACGACAATGGAGATACCACCATTTACACAGAAATTTAGAGTTGCTGTCACGGGTACTGTTGTGGGAATGGTGGTTGCTGTGGCGATAGCATTTGTTAAGCTTGGTTCAGTTAATATCAGATGTGAGATATCTAAAGGGGAAAAAAAGAGCATGTGGTTTTCATGCCATACTAATTTTTAGTTGACCAGCTATAAGACTTTTCCATTACCCTGTTTTTTGAAGCTCTCTGATTTTCTGCAAATGGACACAACATTTCCCTACATTAAAATGAGAATATATAACACCCACAAGTTTGCACTACTGATGAATTCTAAAAGTAAATAGCAATAATATACTGGCTGTGACACATCCTAAGCAATTTTCAGCTGTTATAAATAAATAACTGGTATTTTCACCTTTCAGCAGCATGAAATTCCTCTGCCATGTTTTGCAGTTTATATTCAGAAACAGTCAAGAGACCAGAAGTGGTCTAGCGAAGAAATTTTGTATAGGAACAGCATCACATAGTGTATAATTAGATTTCTAACCCACTAATGAGCTAGGTTGAGATGATTATACAGTGACTATATCTATCCATACTTTCAGTCAAGCACATGATTAACTTTAAACATGAGTAGGCCCACTGACTCCCAGGACTACTCACGCATAAAATTAATCATGTGAATATATGTTTATAGGAACGGAGCCTTATGTAGTACTAAAAACATCATACTGCATGCTTACTGCATTATAAAGAGTTACTTTATATAGCTACCATCAATGCTTACATACCTTCCATTGTTAAAAGAATGTAAACACCATCTTCTTTGATGAAGTTGAGGCTTCTAAGCCTTTCATGAGTTAGAAATCCATTAGTTCCACGTCCTGGCCCTCTCATGAATTGAGTCCCATTAGCGAAATTAGCAGGCGATCCTACTTTGTCTGGCCTGTCCCAAAAATAAGATGAGGAATCTGCAAGGGGGAAAAAAATGCGTGTATGTGTGTGTCCTGAATATTTAAACAGGAAGTTACTCAAAACTCAGATAAGGAGTTATATTGGTTGTACGATTATATAAATTACTGTCTCTCTCCCCTCCACACTTCCCGGTCCTGAGAATCAACTCAAGTGTGCAGGAGGCTATTATCAAGAAAGTCTTCTGGTGGCTTGTTAAATAGATTTTTATCTTGGGATGGAACATGAGGCCTATTCTGTGTGTCATCCAAAAAATATTTTTTGGAAGAAAGTTGGAAGAAAAATTGGTAACACGGGATTAGTTTTTAAAATGCACTAGTTTGGTGGTTCTCAAAGTGAAGCATTTGCTGGTAGTCTGTGGAGAACTAGCTGGTCACAAGTTGCCAGCTCCTCCTCCAGATATGCCAGCTTGACACTGCAAAGCAGAGATCAAACACCTGTGAAAGTAGCTGGTAACACAGAGAAGGAGCCAGCCTTGCTGCCTGTACTAGGGGCTTCCACTACCTAGAAGGAGAATAATCAAGAGCTGCCCTCAGGGATTGGAGATGTCAGCAGGATACGAATGACCAAGTGAAAAAAGAAGGAAAGTGAGTTGCAGGTGCATGGGTGCAGAGAACCAAGGGGGCTGAGCACTATGCCCAGGTGTGTAGGGTAAAAGGGAACTAAGTGGCAAGGACCAGAATGTATAGGGCAAGAAGATGACTATCAACAGGAAATCTTGTGTAGTGTTGTTTTATTAAAAGGGGATCCCATCCTGTCATTCTAGAGTATTTATCTCACATACTTTCCACATTAGGGAGTTTGATGTGTGTGTGCATCACAGAATATTTGTACTTAAAAAAAAAATATTGTGACTTTTAGACAATTTTTAATGCTTTTCAGACCCTAGCGTTACTAAAGTCTGGGAATCCACACAGCTAGTTGTATTTCCATGCAAAGCAAGAACTTAAAGATTGTGATACTGGTAGTTGTCTTTTGTAGCAAAATTCTTACTACACTAGTATATAGAAAGTGTCTCAGGCCTATAGCCAATGTACATTAAAATAAAATCCTATAATTTACCTCCCCATAGAAATTCTTACTCTCTTCTGTTTTCAGTCTTTACCTTTTCATTGAATTTTCTCCTTTTAAAATGACTGTGAGCTATTGCCATTTCTTCTCTTCTCTTCCCTCTCACCCCCTCCAGCTGCAGATTATTGAATTTGAATTATTGTTCTTTGTCCACTTGAAGACTAGGTTTGACACCAATGCTCCCTTCATCATGGGCTCTGGTTAATGATGGCACTCTTGTCTTGTATTAAATCATGCGTAACAGCTGGTCACCGCTCTCTATATAAAGGATGCCACCCAAGGCCCCTGCTCAACCCTATTATCCTGCTCTGGGATATATAATTCCCCAATGTCACTGCTTCCTGCCATTGCATCAAATTCCCTACTAATGTAATGTAGTGTAGTCATCAGTTTTTAACTAACCTGTTAATACAGATAGATCTGTTGTTACACTTCTTTGATTTGACATGTGTTGACGAATATCAGGATTTTGATCCAACAGCACCATAGTAACTTGTTGCCATTCACAAGGCCACTGCAGATGATCATCATTTACTCCAGAGATTAAGTGCAAATATATTGCTAAGTTAAATGGGTTGCTACTGGTACCATTCACATACAAGCCAACCTGAAAAGCATATCCTTTACTAGAGTAAAAAGGAGGACTGTATATTTTATTTTGTGCAGGACTTGTATTGAGGAGATGTGTGAAATTTCTTATATGCCAGACATGATGGGGACACTGTGTTTCTGAAAGGTTAATGTCATCAATAGAAAGGCCACCATTTGATGAACCATTTCCTTTTATGCCTTCAAATACAATCCTGAATTTACTTGTGGCGTTCAAAGGAACATGGTAAAGCTGCCAATAATCCAGAGGTGAACCTGAAAAAGAATTGTGGGGTTTTCAAAGATGGCAAACAAAGCAGTCAAATACTGTACAGTATTCAGGATCTGTTACAACATTACACAAAAATTTATTAATTCCACTAGAGTTGAGGTTGTGTCAATATCTCTCTTATAAACACTGCTTTTCACGGAATTTAAATATGCATGCAGGAGCACATTCTTTTCCCTTCTAATTTTCTAACGTATGTTTAGTTGTTTAACATGCATAATATTTACTGAATTTAATAGTGGAAAAAAGTTATTGTTCTTAGAGATTTATTTTTCTTGATTATGTATTTTCAAAAGAATTTGACAGTGAGTTAATCCAAATGTTGTGAGAACTGGACGTGCACAAAAAACAGACTAGTATCTCAGTAACAATCCCCTCCTAACCAAAACAGTCCACTGCTCACCTCTACCAGCACCAAAACACAGCCCATGCACATAAATAGTTACATATCAAAAGAACAGAAAAGGATGGATTGATTTTAAATCAGAGCTACTTAAATTACCAATTTTAATCACGATATAAATCAGCAAGCAAGAAACCTTGATTTATATTCATTTTATTTGTGTTTTGCCATTGTACCATTTAGTTATTTTCCTGAAGAAAGACTGATTCTCATTGGTTGGTAACCATTAAAACATGCTGATTAGCAACTAAATATAACTTTTGCATTAAATTTGGTGCTTCTTTTTGCTAATCAGGAGAATACGCTCTATCTGTACATATTTATTTAAGCAGTTATATAGCTTAATATATACGTATTCAGATTCTTAATTTTTACATTTTTATATTAGAAAATGGTGAATGATGTATTTCTTGTTTACTAGATTAATTTTTACTTGTGATTTGTGTCAAGCTCTATTTGTATGGAAATTCACATCAATTAAAATGTACAAGAGAAGTATTTTAATTGTTTTATTAAATAAAACTACCTTAAATATTCTAGATACATAAGGAAAAAAAGTTTATCGAACATTTTCTATTGAAAACTACCTGATTTATGAAGCAAAGGAAATATTATCTGTATTTAGTGAATTGAATAAATTATTTCCTATCACCATGTTCTCCAGGATTTTGGAACTAGCAGATCTCATCCTCTCACACCTATTTTCTTGGCTGCCAACTGGTTTCTTAATTCTGAATTAATTAATCAGTGAACTGAACTAGTTGAATAAACTGAAATGCAGAAAATATTCTCTGCAGCTGCAGAAGAGACTACTGCTATCAAAATCTGGCTTAGCATGTCAACAAACTCTGGTTCCAGGTGCTTAGCCAGTGACTTCCACCATTTCAATGGTTTGACTTCCTTTAAAACTTGGCAGCAAATGTGTACTGCTTAAAGTTTTTTTTTATTTAGTTTAAATGATTAATAGATAATAAATTTAGGTTAATATAGGTTTTCAATATCAAATTTAAATAGCTTTATTTTTAAAAAACTCTGTACTTAATTTAAATTAAAAAAAAATCTGATGTAAATATTTTTTAAAAAGTCATTGACTTATCCACCCTGTCCTGCAACCAAATATCCTGAGACAGATTTCAAGAAGTAGGCTGAAGTATAGAGAGAGTAAACTTGCTCCCAGGATAGGTTTAGTGAGAATTAGGGGTTCCCTTTAGATTAACCTGAGGTCTACACCAGCCCTGAGAAGCCCTGATACCTGTCTGTATGAGAGGAATCTGATAGTGTACAGGGATGCCAAAAACACCAGAGCAACCGGCTGGTGAAGTTCATGGGGCAATCAAGCACGCAGGAAAAAAAGGCTTAGAGGACTTGATATTTGCTACAGGGAAGACCTTGCAAGCAAACAGGTCTAATTAGATGTAGGCTATGTCTACACTATGGAGACTATACCCACATAGCCATGTCAGCATAGCTATGCTGGCATAACCCTGTAGTCGGAGCCTACATCAACAGGTTTTTTCCATTAGTGTGGGAATACTGCCTCCCCAAATGATTGATAGCTACTATTCTTTCCTCAACATAGCTGCATCTACACTGAGGGGATTTGGGGGCACGGTTAGATCAGCATAGCTATGTCTTTGGAGGTTTGGTGTTTTTCACACCCTTGGCCATCATAGCTATATTGACTAACTTTTAAGTGTAGAACAAGCCTTCGTCATAAAGGGGAACAAGTCTATTTATTATTAGTAGTATTTATTATTCTTCAGTCTAAAAGAGTGAGCATATGAATAACTGGGTACTGTATGTATAATTATTATGCATTTGCTTTTTCTAATGAGATCTGCTCTGACTTACTAAAAATGACAAAAGATCTTGTGCCTGATCCAAAACCCGATGAATCAATTAAAAAACTTCTGTAGATTTCAATGCATTTTAATTAGTCCTTATCTGGGAAATACACTATTGTAGACTGGTCCTGTAAACCTGGAGATTGGTGAGGGTTTTTTTTTTTTAATCAGTTTTAAAAAGTGTATTATATTTTCAAAAAAGAGGGAGAAAAGAAACAGGAAGAAAACTAGCATATAGAGTAAATTTTTCAAAAGGGCCCAAGTGACTAAACCCTGTTGATTTTCAGTAGGAGTTAGGTGTCTAATAAGGGTATGTCTTCACTACCTGCCGGATCGGCGGGCAGTGATCAATCCAGCGGGGATCGATTTATCGCATCTAGCCTAGACTAGATGCGATAAATCGACCTCCGAGCACTATCCCGTCGACTCCTGTACTCCAGCGCCGCGAGAGGTGCAGCCAGAGTCGACGGGGGAGTGGCAGCAGTTGACTCATCGTGGTGGAAACACCACGATAAGTCGATCTAAGTACATCGACTTCAGCTATGTTATTCACGTAGCTGAAGCTGCATAACTTAGATCGCTCCCCCCCACCCCCGTGTAGACCAGGACTAAGTCACTTAAACCTATTTACAGTTGAAAGCTCACAGAATATATCATGCTACATGTCAACTGCAAATTATGATATGTTATTCACATACTTCTGTGAAGTGAGTCCAAATACTGTTAAATAAATGTCTGGAAATATTTTTTTCTAATTTGATAAGATACCTCAGACCAGGGCATTGGGCTAATCTTTTAGATTCACTCCAACTTTTCCACTTTTGTAATATTAATATCTTAACTATTAATTTGCTCTGCAACTTTTTATGTTGTCAAAGACACATCTACCTACAATTTTAGATCAGCTACCATGAATGCTTGTGGATATTTCACTACGTTAGGTGAGAGAACCATACTGATGATAAGTGCAAGTCAGTTGTAGTAACTGACTAAGTTACTGGAAAATGACTGGCTGAGGTTGCATCTCAGAATGTCTCCTCAGCCAATAGAATCACTGCAGTAGCAAGAGAGAAGAAAGCAAACAACGAAACTACAGAGGACAGGAGTTAGAAGATGAACAATGGTAAAGGAAAAACGCCACTTCATTATACTATGCTTTTCACTCCCAGTTGTCTGTTAAGCATATTGAATATATATCCAACCAGAAGGCACACATTTAAAAAGCAAATTTATTTCATACCTTGTATCCTTTCAACGAGTCTTAAAGTACTATTGGAGCTGGCTAAAGCATACTCCCTGACTAAGATGTTCAGCTTATCACTTTCATGACCACTGTTGTAATAATAGAATTGTAAGCACTGAAATCCTCTTTTCGGATATAGAATGCGGCTCTCCAGAGTAGCTGTTTCTCCCACGCTGCCAGCACTGGTGTTAAAATGCATGAAGTACCCAGTATCTGTGAAAAGGGCATGGGAAATACAAAAGAAAAAGAAAGCATACTTTTCCGGTTACATTTTTATTAATATTATTTAACATCACGTTCTGATAATGCCTAGGGGACTCAGCCAGCTTGGGGCCCCATTGTGTTAGGCCCTGTATAAATGTAGTAAATGATGGTCCCTACCCCAAAGGCCTTAAAGTCTCTGGGGATAGAGTGTTGGAGTAAAGAGAATTTTTCTCTTTTGCTAGGTTTCAGAGTAGCAGCCGTGTTAGTCTGTATTCGCAAAAAGAAAAGGAGTACTTGTGGCACCTTAGAGACTAACCAATTTATTTGAGCATAAGCTTTCGATGAAGTGAGCTGTAGCTCACGAAAGCTTATGCTCAAATAAATTGGTTAGCCTCTAAGGTGCCACAAGTCCTCCTTTTCTCTTTTGCTAGCTATTTTCCCCATTTGCCTGTCTCTTATTATCCATGTTACAAAGCATAGGCTCTTCTGGTCTAGCCACTGAGGGACATAGGACTCAGGAATGGATTTACCATGAAACCGTTTGGTGGCATGGGGACCCCAATGACTGGGGGGCCCCCAAAATGCAGGACAAATCTCATCTGACAACTTGCCCCCGAGTCCTGGCCGGCGGCACAGCAAGGCTCAGGGAGGCAGGCTGCCTGCATGCTTTGGCCCATGGCCCCACACTGCTCCTGGAAGCAGACGGCTGCTGGCATGTCTCTGTGCACCCTTGGCAAGGGGGTAGGTGGCTCCGTACACTGCCCTCGCCCTGGGTGGCCCAAGGAAACCCACTGCCCCCCTCCCCACAAGAGGCATGCAGAGACGTTCCAGCAGCAGGGCTAAGGCAGCTCCCTGCCTGCTCTGCCTCCCTCCCTTCGCGCCACACCACTCCCGGAAGCTGCCTGCATGTCCCTGTGGTGCCCTGAGCGCTGACTCTGCAGCTCTCATTGTCTGGGAACTGCACCTGCAGAGACCCCCTCCCCACCACCCTCCACCTAGGAGGTGCTGCCGGAGGGGTGTGTGTGCCAGTCGCTTTGGGAGCCACACTGCCTGAGGTAAGCCCCACCCCCTACACCCTAACCCTCTGCCCCAGCCCAGAGCCTGCACTCTGCACCCAAACTTCCTTCCAGAGCCCGACCCCTCACCCCTCCTGCACCCAAAGCCCCTGTCCCAGCCCAGAGCCTGCACCCAAACTTCCTCCCAGAGCCCGCCCCCCCACCTCAACCCCCTGCCCCAGCCCAAACCCCGCACCCAGCACCCAAATTCCCTCCCAAAGCCCAACCCCGAACCTCCTCCTTCATCCAAACTCCCTGCCCCAATCAAGATAGCTCGCTTTATTTTCATTTACTTCCCATTGCTTATAATATAGGAGGAGGATGAAGAAAAAAAGAATGAAAAACTGGGGGGAGATGAGAGAATGTTCTTTTTCTTTGCTGGGTCCTGAGGGGGGTCCCCGAAAATGAAGCTGTGCACAGGGCCTCACTAACTCTAAATCCACCACTGATAGGACTGCAAGGGACCTCCTGATCTCTGAGTCTAGTCCCCTGCTATCTCAGGCAACCCCATCATAGAATCCCATTAATAAACTATCAAGCTCTATCTTGAAACTAGTCAAGTTGTTTGTCCCAATGTCTCCTTTCCAGATGGCCCATTATTTGCTTGCACATACTGCCTGGAGTTTTGGCTGACGCTGTTGAACCAAAACTCATGATGTTTGTTTTGGCAGGCTCAAAACAATCAGTTTGTATTCCCAATGAACTGTTTTCCCAGCCCAAATAATATATATTCTCAAATCCCAACCCTTTCCAAAATTACTACTGAACAGTTAATCACAAACAAGAATTTATGGTTATAGCAGAAATATTTTTCATATCTCTGAACTACCATGGTTTGTAAATCTTTTTTTAAGCTAGTTAATACATCTTGTGTAGTTCTCTTGTTTTATTATTATACCAAAGGCCAGAAAGCAGAGGAAAGAGATTAGAACTTTCAACCTACAGCAAATATCTACAGCAAAAATGGCATGTGTCCCTGATAATTTTATGCTGCTTGGTTAAAAATTTATCCTCAGGTGCCCTCTGAAGAAGATCAAAGTCACAATTCTGCCATAGCAGAAAACATTTTCAAAAGAGATAAGAATTCCTTTACATTACCTTTGCAGTCTCCCATATTGGTATGATCAGTATGTGGGCCGGCAGGTACCTGAGACACACGCTGCCAGTCACTGTTATCTTCTGAACTTTGAATCATGCCGCATACATTTTCAAGTTCAAAACTGCATGTGTCCATAAAGCTTAGTGAGGAGGCTGCAAGATACAAAAGGAAGAAAGTGGTACATCTGAATTCTAGTCTTCCAAAGCTGGTGTAAGAGAGAATACTAAGACATTAGGCTCCTATGGAATCCTATGCATCCACCAATCCCATCAAAGTCAACATGAGTTGCGTGTTTAGCACTTCACATGATTGGGCCTTTAATTACCTGCGACAGACTGGAATGGGATTGACAAATGCAAAGTTTGGGTTCTTTTTCAGCAATCGTGAACATCAAGTGACACCATCGCACCTGAGAGATCCATTAATCATCTTCTGCATCTCTAAGTGTTGTATTGATATTGTGCAATAGACAGTTTATAAAAATGATAGCCCAGATCCTCCAGTCCTTACTCAATCAAAATGACGATAGACTCTCCTTCCCCTTCAGATCTCCGTCGCCTCCAGTTATCCCAGGCATGGCCACCAGTTTTACCAAAACTTCCCTGACGACTTGGTTAGACTACTAATTTTGGAATATCAGTTGAATGTAACACTGAAGACCAGTAAAGAGGACATGATTTAGCTGGAATTTTTTAAACACAAAAACCTGTTTGCATTTGAAACCTATGGTTACATCAGCCCATGGAAATTTTGAACATTTTGTCTGTCTCATATAAAAATAAACTAAAACCATACTGAGTGAATGCACAACACGTAGTTTAATAATAAATATTAAGCAGACTGTAAGGGAAAGTACAGGCCAGATTTAGGTCTCTGTCTAAGCTAGGAGAGAGACTGGTTGAAATCCTGACCCCGATGAAATCAATAGCAGAACACACATTGACTTCAATAGGCCTATGATTTCTCCCATTGAGTGGATGTGACTGGAGGTAAGGATAAGAGATATAGAATGGGACATGTGTAATGAGGAAATAATAAAATGTGCGGAAAAGACAAAGAAAGTGGTTGTATACAATTTACAAAAGGGGGAACAGTCAGAGTTGCAAGAGATAAGGGGAGGACCCAACTATGACCCCAATTCAACAAAGCATGTAAGGACACCCTTTATTTTAAGCACATATGTACATCCCACTGAGCTCAAATGCTTCATGTGCCTAAAGTTATGCATGTGTTTACGTGTGTTGCTGAACTGGGGCCTAAGCAAGCAAAGAGATTTTTACTAGGATCTTGTAGAATTTTAATGTTCATACTTATTGTAAAATGTTTTTTGAAACCATAATTGTTTTTATAAACATAATGTCTATTGATGCATGATTTGCTTGTTGTGGTGGTGAGGTTACCAAAAAAGTTAGGTATACACTGGCATGCAGATCATATCTGAACTGGTTTAGCCAATCACAATTACAGATTTTTAATCCCCTTTGATAATGGAACCATATACTATAATTCTCCCTCCCTTGTTTTCATTCATCTTCTTGAATTACATGGCCTATGTGCAGAGGTACTGGTCTCACACTATCACCATACTGTATATAGACTGGATTTAGAAGGGATTTAAAAACAAACAAACACATTTTCTTCAGAGAAACACCCCACAGTGTAATTTGATGACACACACCCTATATCTCCCAAATTGTGAGAGGTAAGGGTGCAGCCAGTGCAGATATAATAGAGACAGCAGAGATGTCAATTTTTCTATAGTGTCTACTGCAACTGCTGGGGAATCAAAAACTTTGTACAGCAAAGCATGTCTTAAAACAAGCACCCAAGGGATGAATACAAATCAGCTGCCTAGTAAAGGTGTTCTTTAACTAAAGGTCAAATAAAATTGCAGAGGGAGCTTTGCATTGCCTCTGCACAGCAGGACTCCCGGAGGAGTGGTCTGTTATTTCTAGCTGTCTTAATTGCACTGATATTTCTGGTGCTCTTAACATATCCATTTTTCTAAACCGTTGGCTTCTCTTTTACTTGTGCTAGGTGAGTCCCATATGGGTAAATTTTTCTTGATTTCTTCCATATAATGAACAGAAAGTGCAACAATGATTCAAGAGAACTTGAAAAACTTACTGCAGTTGTATAGGCGATTTAGCTTCTGGAGATCATAATCACTGAAATCCATTCGTTGCCCAATCACATCCATGAATTCTGGTATGTTAGTTACTATGGTTGGTTCAGTTCCGTTCATGAACGATGTTTTACTATAGTGCATCACAGAAGTGTAATCATAAGGAACATTCAGGGCATTTGATGTTTTATCATCGTATGTATTGAAATTGTGTTCTTTACCTAATGAAGAAAAAGAAGGGAGAGGTAATTGATCAATCAGGCTATAAAAGTTACCTAAAATGCATATGTGTACAGTCTGCTTTTACATTAAAAAACCTGTGTAATTTAAGAGTTCTAGGACTGAGTCATAGGTTTTTAAGGGCAAAAGGGAGCACTATGATTATTTAGTCTGCCCTGCTGCATAAGACTGCCCATAGAATTTTACCGCACGCTTCCTGCATCAAACCCATAACTTCTGGTTAAACTATAGCATATCTTTTGGACCTCCAGTCTTGATTTCAAGACTTCAGGTTACGAAGACTCCACTACATTCCTAGGTAAGTTGTTTATTTATTATAATTTAAAAAAAAAAAAAAACTTATTTCTGGCCTGAAATGTTTGTAGCTTCAGCTTCTGACCATTGAAACTTTTGACTTTGGATGGTTTAATATAAAACTTTTTGATGTAACTCCCAGTTCGTATGTTGCACCAATAGCATACACCAGGTTGTCTGTTCTGTTTTCAGTTTGCCTGGTGTGAACACATGGTGGTAATTTGCTGTGAACTGAGGAAATAGCATTCTTGGGGTAGAGATAGGCCATGGTGCTTTGCTTCACAGCAGGGCAGGAATTGGGTACATTGTTGCAGGCATGACTGGGGCTGGCTCTTCACCTGGCTGGCATCAAGGTCCTAGATCCTCAAAAGATCCTGGCTTCCAGGGGACAGCTCCTCTCTAGCATAGGCGCCAACTCCGTGAGTGCTCCAGGACTGCAGGGCCCCTGGGAAAAAAAATAGTGGGTGCTCAGCACCCACCGGCAGCCCTGCCAATCAGCTCCTTCCCCCCTAGATACTAGACACTGGAGAGCAGACGTGCCAACTTTCTGAGTTTCCCGGGGGGGGCTCGACACCCGCTCTGCCCCAGGCCTATTCCAGTTGTCAACATCCTTTTGGAAGTGTGGACGCCAGAACTGGACACAGGATTCATGTAACTGTCTCAGTACTGCTCTATGCAATGGTAATAATGCCACCCTATTTCTGCTTGATGTACCCTTATGTTTTGTGCCTGGTTATTTCACTTAGCAGTACATAATCTAATAAACCAGGGGTGGCCGAACTGTGGCTCCGGAGCCACATGCGGCTCTTCAGAAGTTAATATGTGGCTCCTTGTATAGGCACCGACTCCGGGGCTGGAGCTACAGACGCCAACTTTCCAATGTGCCGGAGAGTGCTCACTGCTCAACCCCTGGCCCTGCCCCCACTCCATCCCTTCCCATGCCCTCCCCTGAGCCTGCAGTGCCCTCGCTCCTCCCCCCACCCCTGAGCCTCCTCCATGCCATGAAACAGCTGATCGGGAGGGGGAGGGGCTGATCGGTGGGGCTGCTGGTGGGTGGGAGGCGCTGGGAGCGGGGGGAGAGGGGGAGCTCATGGGAGGCTGCTGACGTATTACTGTGGCTCTTTGGCAATGTACATTGGTAAATTCTGGCTCCTTCTCAGGCTCAGGTTGGCCACCCCTGTAATAAACCATTTAGAGCAACCCTCAGTTAACCCTCAGAACATGTCCCTATACATATTTTCTAGACTTTTTTTAAAAAAATCATCTGTTTGAAGCGAAGTTTTTAAACTTTAAAAATGTTTTTAAATTATTTTATTAGTCTAAAAAAAGAGCATCCATGTTCTAGCTTTGTGGAAACATATGCAGTGCTGTTGTGACTGTGTTGGAGCCAGGATATTAGAGAGATAAGGTGAATGAGATATTATCTTTAATTGGACTAACTTCTGTCTCTCTCACCAACAGAGGATGGTCCAATAAAAGATACTACCTCACCTACTTTGTCTCTGGAAATATATTAGCATTTAAAAAATGTTAACAGCAGTGTTACCTGCTGATAAAGCATCAGCAAAAAAGAATTAAATACCAATCCAAAAACCAGATGCGGTTTAAATTAAGTCATTCTCTGCAATATATTCTTGCACCTGCAGCTTCTGGCTGATCATCCGTAAATAAAATGTATTTGATCTAATAATTATGTCTTTCGGTGTTGGATTTTGTAAGTGTTCTTGAGTTAGGAAGGAATGGAGTTCATATTCAATACCACAACCTTCATATTGCCTGACAAACACAGAAGATCACAATGAGCTGAAGAAATAGAGATCAATAAGATTCCTGAGACGGCCTCAGTTGTGGACCAAGCTTCTACCCCCCTTGCCTATAATAGTCCAAGATTGTTGAACTCCCATGCTGCATGGCTCATATTTTTACCCAGGTGACTGTTTAAGGGGATTGGAAACTTTAGTGGGAAAAGAGTCCCATAGGTTGGGTGGTATCCGTGGGTTGTAGTTTGCTGGGATTTTCCGTGGTTTGCTCCTGGTTTTGATTTGGTTGCACTGGGTTTTTGTTTGTTTTTTAAATAATGTCAAAAGCATCTAGAGAAGTGGGTGGCACCACTGTAAATTACAATAAATTAATCCAATTATTTTACTGTGCTCCAAAGTGCTCCCTTACTCTTGGTATTACACCTGGCAGACTGGGGCCCGAATCCTGCATTAAGGCCTCCGGGAAATGCCTTGATACAGATGATAATAAATATTGAGGTCTATGTCCCTTAACATTTACCTCTTTGGTGTGAGTATTGGTTAAAATAAGTAAATTGAGGTGAGGGAATCAAATTTTTAAAATCCTACTGTAGCTGAATGAGATGTTACACAGATTAGTATTCTCCATTGCCTTAAGTGAAAAGAAAGCAAATGAAAATGGTTTACCAGACTGAATTCTGTCCCACATTATGGAGACATAATCATCCCGGTCGGATCGTGATTGCTCATGCCAGAATCCGAGTGCATGAAGGAACTCATGTTGAATAGTTGCAATCCTGTCGCAGTTGGCTCCAATTGAGAGTTGTTGCTTCCCTTCTTGGCGGTTCCCTACATAGGACCAGCAACTAATAATAAAATAAAATGCAGGACAGATCTGAGAAATACATAACTGATGTCCCCCAATAATATTTGTAATCAGTCTGCTCTGACAGATACAGTTTAAATGTAAGAGGTACAAAGGTTTATGAAATGATGTGTTTGCTACACAGAGAATGCATTTCTTTTTTTCTATAATTTATTCTGGTTTAATATATTTGGAGTTAGTTCTTCAGACTTGTCCCTTCCTATAATATTCAGTTTAGTGGTTTTCACTGTGTCTGTCTGTCTGGAACTTGCTTTGTTTATATTGGTTTATTTCTTTAACAGGAAAATGTCACAATACTAATGACAGAAAGGGTTGGTGGGATTTTCATTGATACTGCAAAAACCCCAGAAATGAGGAGCTACATAAAAATGAGTTGCTTGTGGAAGATGCTGGCATTGACAGCCCTGAAGAATGAAGCCATCTGTATGGCCTTAAAAATAGGGAGACAAGTTGAGTGAGGTAATATCTTTTATTAGATCAACTTCCCTTGGTGAGAGAGACAGACTTTTTGGTTCTGAAGGAACCCAAATATGAAATTGTAGAACTAATTGTGGTATGTAACCTAGCACTTAAATCAGCTTCTATACCAGATGCTAGAGGATAGATAGATGACTAGAGAATAATGCGACACCAATTTTTTAAAAAAGGCTTCGGAGGCACTCCTGGCAATTACAGGCCGGGAAGTCTATCTTCAGTACCAGGCAAATTGGTTGAAACTACAGAAAAGAACAGAATTGTGTTCAACACATTGTGTTCCACACAGCTTTTGTAAAGGGGAATCATGCATCGCCAATTTATTAGAATTATTTGAAGGAGTCAACAAACATGTGGACAAGGGTGATCCAGTGAATATCGTGTACTTGGACGGTCAGAAAGCCTTTGACAAAGTCCCTCACTGAAGGCTCTTTTGCAAACTAAACAGTCCTGGGATAAGAGGGTAGGTCCTCTCATGGATCAATAATGGATTAAAGCATAGGAAACAAAAGGTCAGAATAAATGGTCAAATGGAGTTAGCATGCTACCTACCTCTCTCAGAATGGAGAGAGGTAGGTAGCATGTTTGCCAGGGATCTGTATTGGAACCAGTGCTGTTCAATGTATTCATAAATGATCTGGAAAAAAGGTGGAAACAGCAACATGGCAAAGTTTGCAGATGATACCAAATTACTTAATATAGTCCAAAGCTGACAGTGAAGAGTTACAAAGGAATCTCACAAAACTGGGTAACTGAGCAACAAAAGGCCAGATGAAATTCAATGTTGATAAATGCAACGTAATGCAAACTGGAAAACATAATCCCAACTACACATGCGAAATGATGGGGTCTACATTAGCTGTTACTGCTCAAGACAGAGATCTTGGAGTCATTGTGGATAGTTCTCTGAAAACATCCGATTAATGTGCAACCTCAGTCAAAAAAAGCAAACTATGTTGGGAACCACTAGGAAAGGGACAGCTAATAAGACTGAAAATATCACAGTGCCACAATATAAATTCATGGTATGCCCACACCTTGAACACTACATGATGTTCTGGTCCCCCATCTCAAAAATGTTGTTAGAAATGGAAAAGGTACAGAGAAGACCAACAAAAATGATTTGGGGTATGGAACAGTTTCCATAGGAGGAGAGATTAAAAAAACTGGGACTGTTCATCTTAGAAAAGAGAAGACGAAGGGGGGATATGATAGAGGTCTATAAAATCATGGATGGGGTGGAAAAAGTGAATAAGGAAGTGTTATTTACCCCTTCACATTACTCAAGAACCAGGGGTCACCCAATAAAATTAATAGGCAGCAGGTTTAAAACAAACAAACGGAAGTACTTCTTCATACAGCACACAATCTACCTGTGGAACTTGTCACCAGAGGATGTTGTGAAGGCCAAAACTATAATTAGGTTAAAAAAATAATTAGATACTTTCCTGGAGGATAAGTCCATCTTGACTAATTGACCCCTATGCTCTGGGTGTCCTTAAGCCTCTGATTGCCGGATACTGTGACTGGATGAGAGAGGATCAATCACTTGACAACTGGCCTGTTCTTTTCATTCCCTCTGGGGCACCTAGCATTGGCCACTGTTGAAAGGCAGGAGGCTGGGCTAGAGGGACCATTGGTCTGAGCCAGTATGGCCAGCCTTATGAGCTTACACAGAGCTGTTCTTCAGATCAGCAGGAGTCCAGCTTCCTGACAATGTGCCCCAACCTTTACCTAAAGAAAGCACATTTGTGGGTAAGCAGGTAGTTCCTCAATCATCGAGTTCTTGATCTCTGTTGTGATGTTGCTAAGAAGAGTGTGAATCATCACTTGTGATGTGGAGACATTGCCAGCGAAGAGGTTGTAAAGTCATATAATTTAGCTGCATTTTTTAAAGTTTATGACTACCAATAACTTTTACTGATAAGTTAGTCAAGATAAGGGTAATCAAACGAATTGTCGAAGCATATAAGGAAGGAATTTCTCCTTAAGCACAGCATTGCATAACTTAGCGATGAAGGCTGGATACATTACCAGACTAGATGGGCCAATGCTTTTGTCTGCTAGGGCAAGTTCTAATAGAGGTACAAAAAGGAATATAATGGCAATTGGATGTCTAACATAGTGAATGCCAGTGAAAATGGGGTAGGATCTGAGTCTAAAATAGGGAAAGAACAAGTAAAAAATGACTTAGACAAGTTAGATGTCTTCAAATCACCAAGGCCTGATGCAATACATCCTAGAATACTCAAGGATCTGACTGAGGAGCTATCTGAGCCATTAGCAATTATCTTTGAAAAGTCATGGAAGATGGGAGACATTCCAGAAGACTGGAAAAGGGCAAATATAGTGCCCATCTATATAAAAAGGGAAATAAGGACAACGCGGGGAATTGCAGACCAGTCAGCTTAACTTCTGTACCCAGAAAGATAATGGAGCAAATAATTAAGCAATCAATTTGCAAACACCTAGAAGATAATAAGGTGATAAATAACAGTCAGTATGGATTTGTCAAGAACCAATCATGTCAAACCAACCTGATAGCTTTCTTTGACAGCGTAACAAGCCTTGTGGATTGCGGGGAAGCAGTAGATGTGGTATATCTTGACTTTAGTAAGGCTTTTGATACTGTCTCACATGACCTTTTCATAAACAAACTAGGGAAATACAACCTAGATGAAGCTACTATAAGGTGGGTGCATAACTGGTTGGAAAATCATTCCCAGAGAATACTTATCAGTGGTTCACAGTCATGCTGGAAGGGCATAACGAGTGGGGTCCCGTAGGGATTGGCTCTGGGTCCGGTTCTGTTCAATATCTTCATCAACGATTTAGATAATGGCACAGACAGTACACTTATAAAGTTTGCGGACGATACCAAGCTGGGAGGGGTGGCAGGTGCTTTGGAGGGTAGGATTAAAATTCAAAATGATCTGGACAAACTGGAGAAATGGTCTGAAGTAAATAGGATGAAATTCAATAAGGACAAAAGTACTCCACTTAGGAAGGAACAATCAGTTGCACACAAACAAAATGGGAAATGACTGTCTAGGAAGCAAGTACTGAGGAAAGGGATCAGGGGGTCATAGTGGATCACAAGCTAAATATGAATCAACAGTGTAATGCTGTTGCAAAAAAAGCAAACAACATTCTTGGATGTATTAGCAGGAGTATTGTAAGCAAGACACAAGAAGTAATTCTTCTGCTCTACTCTGCACTGATTAGGCCTCAACTGGAGTATTGTGTCCAGTTCTGGGTGCCACATTTTAGGAAAGATCTGGACAAATTGGAGAAAGTCCAGAAAAGAGCAACAAAAATGATTAAAGGTCTAGAAAACATGACCTATGAGGGAAGATTGAAAATATTGGGTTTGTTTAGTTTGGAGAAGAGAAGACTGAGAGGGGACATGATAACAGTTTTCAAGTACATAAAAGGTTGTTACAAGAGAGGAGGGAGAAAAATTGTTCTTACCTCTGAGGATCGGAGAAGAAGCAATGGGCTTAAATTGCAGCAAGGGCAGTTTAGGTTGGACATTAGGAAAAATGTCCTAACTGTCAGAGTAGTTAAGCACTGGAATAAATTGCCTAGGGAGGTTGTGCAATCTCCATCATTGGGGATTTTTAAGAGCAGGTTGGACAAATACCTGTCAGGGATGATCTAGATAATACTTAGCCCTGCCATGAGTGCAGGGGAATGGATTAGATGACCTCTCGAGGTCCCTTCCAGTTCTAGGATTCTATGATAATGATGAGGTTTATTAAACACCATTGACTAAACCTTGCAATTCTTACTGTTGAAGTCAGTGGGAGTTCAGACGTCCAGGATTTAGCCCGATATGGTCTTTTTTGATCTGGCTGCTAAAACACTTGGATTTATGAGCATGGAAAATTCATAGGTCTAGGGCCATAGATTCATAGGTTAGGTTCAGCGTTGCAATGGCTAACGTATAGGCGTTCTGCCAGCCAGTGGAGTCCACAACCCTGAGTTAGGTGCCCAGGCTCCCAGTCCCTATAGAAGGCATGAGGAAAGTCAGGTGACAAAAATAGGATCCACCAAAGCCCAGCATGATATTGAGTGGGGAGCTGCCTAACCTAACAAGTAGAAAATGCAGAGGAGAAGAGCAGTTGGCCTAAGCCCCACTCCTCAAAACGAGGTGGACACCTAAAATAATACCTGTTCCACTTTGCATCAATAGTCATTACAACAGGGCCTGGAACTTGGACCTCACACATCCCAGGTGGGATGCGTTGTTCCAAGAATCATTATCATTGTGTCTCTGGCCCAGTGCCTTAAGTATTTCACACAAAGTGGAAGAGATTCAACAGGAGAGACTGAGAGACAGGCATCCCTGAATACTTTATAGTGCAGTGGTTAGGGCAGCCACCTGTCGGGTGGGAGACCTGACTTCAAATTCCTGCTCCACATAGGTGGAAGTGGGACAGAGGTGGGATTTGAACCGGAATCTCCCCTCTCCTGGGTGCATGTGCTAATCATTGGGCTAAAAGTTACAAGGAGGTGGCATTACCACCACTAATAGTGTTTCATGTGAAGCCTGATCTATGAGGCATGCTCTCAATATGCCTTTACTGGAATGGGCCCCACAAGCAAGATAGATGGGGCAGTGCCTAGTTTGAAGATCTTGCTGGGGCAAGGATGTGAGCTGGGTGTCAGGACTGAAGTGGCTGTGTGCATGTCCAGTGGCTGAAATTTAGGTAACTACAGGGTTAGGTTGCAGCTGAGCAGGGGTTTTGAGGATCTATATTTTGGAGTTAAGTGCCTAAATCCCTTTGTGGCTTTAGCCCATAGCATTCAGATCACACTTGCACCTTGGTGGTTCACTATTAGTACACAGGTCTATAAAGTAAAATATTTATCATGGAAGAACAAATAGCCTGGGGCTGACTTTGTACCATTTTCCAGGCACAGGTGGGAGTCAAAACAAGCCTGCTATGTCACTACCCATATGTAATTCCCTTTATTATGGTCGGACAAATTTGCAGTCCTGCAGTCTAGGCTATGGCATTCCCATTGTGGGGAAATTTTTTTTTTATAAGACAAATTTAGTAGGAGAACATGAGAATAGAACTTCATATGCCCACAGGCCAAACAAGAAAAAATGATTTGATCCAATAGCTTGATTTACCATGAAAGGTCCCATGTCTGTTAAGGATTCAGTTCTGTGCTCAGTTGCATCGGTACAACTTCCATTGGGTCCTAGAGCATTTGTTTGCAAACAAGTATAATAAGGGGAAAACTTAACCTTTATCCAGTTCATACCAGGTTTTGGGCTATTACAGTTTCCAGTGTGTAAAATCTGAGAAATGAATAGGTTGAGATAAGGAATTATATTCCGTTCCCAGTTTTTGGAGAACATCCTAATTAGTGCACATAAAAACTGGCCATATATCCAAATGGAATGAGAATTTGTCACATTTTTCCTCTTACCCACTGCCCTTGAACACTGATATATAATTTTTTTCTCCTTCCCAAGGTTTGAAGTCAATACAGGTTTTTAGGCGATACCGTTCAAATGCTTTGAGGATAAGTCCTTTAGCATTCATTTCTGTAAGAGAAACAAATAGCATTGTTATCAATATAGGGTCAAATCCTAAGGTCCTTGCTGAGCTTTTTATAGACCTCACTCTGACAAACTACTATTAAAATCTTGGAGTTTTGACAGATTAAGGATTGAGCAAAAATTCAGTAAAGGCCTAAGAATCTAGACTGCTGGAAAACTGTATTCTACCTTTGTTTTATCTCAACATAATACAATATGTTTCATGGGCGATTTCAAAACAATTAAGGTGCATTGGGAGGGGGAGGGAGCAAGGCAAGGGAGTCAGCCTCTGAAACAATCAATGTGAATTGAGGGAGGGGGGACAGAGCAAGGCAAGGACATTTAACTGTTTCATGTACCAGCAGTGCTGCAAGTGGATATATCAGGCTGCAAGTCTTTCTGGCTGTGTGCAGGTTGCTGCTCAGGTACCTGTACCTTTGCTGGAAAGGGGACAGGCAGAGGCTACAGCGCAAGGCAGTCCCAAGGGAGCCCATGGACTGGAAGGGGACCCAAGACAGACAGTATTGCAGCAGGGCAAGGGGGCTCACAAGTATGGGGGCTGCTACTGTCCAGGATGGTGTGTTTAATAACCCAAGGCATAACCCAGGGCAGCCTCATGGACTGAGGGAGGCAAATGACCAAAGGAAAGCATCCACGCATTCAGGGGGGCAGGCTGTGTGGATCAATGGGGTAGTCAGCGAAGCTGTGCAGCAAATGGTCAGTGACTTTGTTTCTGAGGTTTTCTCCACAGCATTACAGCGCTTCAGAGGACACAAGGTCACCTAGAACCAGAATGTTCTCTTCCACCGAACACAAGGGATGGCGGTAATGCTGATCTCGGGGGTGAGTGTAATCTGAACCACACAGAGGTTGGGGGAATGGGTGGCAGAGGTGGTATCCAGCCTTCCAGCCTGGCAAGGGGTGGCACTTGCACGGACCTTGCTCAACCAGTCATTCAGTGAGTTCACCTAAGGGGAATAGGAGTCAGCCTATTGGGGTATTAAATACTCTGGGCCCAGGAGTGGGAGGTCCAGAAGCCTGGGCAGACCCACCTAGGGGTGGCACCTTCAGTGTGGACACTGATGGCATTACACAGCTGCTGCAAGCTAATCTGAATTTACTACAGCAGCTTCAGGCAGTTAGATGTGAGGGGTCTGCACAGGGTGACAGGGCAGGCCCAGCATGGGCTCAAGTTTGGGCAGCAGGACAGGGAAGGGCATATGGGAACTCATCGGCCATCAGGACATGTAACCGCATGGGACAGAGTAGATGCTCCCGGGGAGGGGGGGGGGTCTATGGGGGAGCAGGGCTCTGCAGAGCTCCCTCCATGCAGTCCTGAATACAATTATGCTGGGGTGGCTTACCCGATGGGAGTTCACCTACTCAGTACAACTAAATATAACATCCTGAGAGGCGAATTCGTGGATATAATATCCCTATGGCACAGGGAGGTATTCACAGACAGTAAACATGGGCAAAGCAAGCAAAAGAGAGAACTGCCCAAGAGGCCAAGGGTGCCTAAAACATGGAAAAGTTGAAAGGCTACCTTCCTTATTTACATTATCCCTATTGCACAGGGAGGTGTTAACAAACAGTAAACATGGGCAAGACAAGCAAAAGAGCGAAGTGCCCAAGAGGCCAACAGTGCCTAGAACATGGAAAAATTGGAAGGCTGCCTTCCTCATCTAGGCGGGTGTTACAGTACAGGCCTACCCAGACAGCAGCCCTGCCTTTGTTAAGTATACGGCTATAATCAGACGGGCACACAATATGTTTGGGGGCATGTCATGAGCAGTTTCAATTAAGGGCAGCAAGACAAACTGGGATAAGGTGGCATCACACACTGTGGTTGCAGTGGATGACACCAAGGGTGCATGGGGTTTGTTCATATTGCAACAAGCTCAGAAGGGGCCGCAGGCACGTAATAGTATTTGCTGGGCATTTAATAATGGTGGTTGTTTTCACAACCCCTGTAGATACAGGCATGTTTGCAAGACGACTACGGCTGGCAATTTTATTTTGACAAGGCTATGCCCATGGGCTCTTCAGTATCCCGTGCAGCTTTTGAGAATTTCAGTCCAATGGTGCACTGGGAAGGGGTGCAGTCAGCAGGAGTAAATTAAATAGTGCATTATTTGCATAATTTTTGTTTGGAGGGCGAGCCAGGTCACATGAGTGTTTTCACCTGTTGGACACATTTCAGGCCCTGGCTAAATAGTTGGGGGAACCCCTAGCGAAGGACAAAACAGAAGGCCCTTCCACTACATTAACCTACCTGGGCATTGAGCTGAACTTTGCTTGCAGGGTTGTTGCCCCAGGGCGGGCATTTTGTGCCAGGCTGGCAGCAGCAACGGCCAGCATAGCCAGGCCACACCATTACATACGAGTCACTACAGAGTCACTACAGAGATGAAAGAAGACTTGTGGGTGTGGGAAAGTTTTCTAAGTCAATTTAATGGGGTATCATTGTGGAGGGACAAATGGGTATTAATATGGGTATTAATTTGGGGATTGGAGCTAATATAAGGGTGTGCTTCTGGTGTGACAACATGGCAGTGGTACAGGTTATCAATCACCAAACTTCCAGATCACACAGGGTTGTGAAGTTGGTAAGGGCATTTGTTCTCCAATGCTTACCCTTCAACATCTGTTTTTTCTTCCAAGCACATGCCGGGCATGGATAATGGCATAGCAAATGCCTTATCTCATTTCCAGTTTGCCAAATTACGTAAGCTGTGGGCTCTCTGGAACCTCGGAATGTCATGTGGTTGGTGGAATGCTCCAACTTACAAGTTGTTTATTTTGTTTTCTTTTAAGGAGTTTTGTCAGTTCAAAGATCCAGAGAATGAGTCGCCTATGCAGCCCTCCGTTAAGGGTGGTTGTTGCAGTACTGGGTCAAGGACAATGCAGCTGCTGGTGCCCCTTGACGATCACACATGGGACAGCAGGTTTTTTCTCCCCAGTAGGGCTGCTAGCCAAGAGGCCATTTGGAGATGTCTGGGAACCCGACAGGGTTGGGGGGAGGCAGCCAAGCAAATGGCTGGTGCCTCCTTGGGGCAGATGTTCAGTGCAGATACTCCATAGGGAGGGCAGCCAGTGACCAGACAAATGGCCTGGTAAAGAACTTAAAAGGAGGTACTGGATAAAGGAACAGAACGGGGGAGGAGGTTGGGGACTCCTATGATTGGTATGTCAGGGAGCCAACAGCCCCGCCCCCACCATTCTCATAGCCCTCCTTAACCCTCTTATGAGGCTGGTGGATGGTAAGCTCCAAGCCATGGGTCAGCTGGGGAACCTGGATGGAAATAAAGGGGGGACTGGTGGAAGCCCCGGAGAATTGATTTGAATAAGCATGGATTTGCTTGCACTGTACATTTTATCTGCTGGGTGGTCCCAGACATATATATAATAAAGTTGCAGCCTGATTAAAACCCATAACAAGTCAAATGTCCTTCTTGCGGTATACCCAGACAATTGTATTCTACCTTTGTTTTGTTTAAACATAATACGATATGTTTCATGAGTGATTTTTATGTATACAGTATAAGATGATGAGTACCTAATGCTTGATCCTGACAGTTGCTGAGTGTTCTCAACTGCTACTGACTTCAGTGGAGTTTATAGGACCAAGGATTGAATAAAAACTGAGTAAAAACCTCAGATTTCACCCAGAGCAAGTAAAGGGTTATAAACACCTCACTGGCATTGCTCAGATCCTTGAATGCTAGCAATACATCTGAGTCGTCATCTCTAGGAGACCTACTTGGCTTAAATTGGTTAGCCTATTTCTTCATCTATTCATATCCAAACTTTTTGTCACTCTGAACCATACAAATGGAAAGGTGAGATTCCCTGAATTAAAAAAGATCCCCAATAACTTTTTCTTTCTTTTCACTTAATGCAGTGTCATACCTTAGGCAGATGACTTTAAAAACAAACTTCTATTTAAAACTAGTGCAACTTTTCAACCAAAGCAGACACTATTATTTATATATATATATGTATGTATATTTATATTTCAAAGGCAAATACTGTACCCAGGCTATCCTCAAGGACATATGGGATGGTGAGGGGCCACCGATAGTTGTCACCAATAATGGAGTTTCGTTCCTGTATTTGAGAAGGAAAATAAATGTGAAGAGTTCAGTAAGGGATGACATAGGAGTAGGCAGCAAAAACAAAATTTTGTAGCTCTAACCTGCAAGTAAGAAATATGTCTCTTATGAATCTCTGTGAGTAGTTGAGAAATAAGCTTAGGAGCACAAATACTGAGGAAGATGGCCCAGTGGTGTAGGCCTCAGGTTTGAAATACTAGAGACCATAGGCACCGACTCCATGGGTGCTCCAGGGCTGGAGCACCCATGGAAAAAAAAAAGGTGGGTACTGAGCACCCACTGGCAGCCCCCTTATCAGCACCTCCCCCTCCCCCCAGCACCTCCTGCTCACCATCATCAGCTGTTCCATGGCATACAGGTGGCACTGCGGGGGAGCAGCGAGGTTGGGATGTGCTCAGGGGATGGAGCAGAACAGGGCAAGGCAGGAGCGAGAAGAGGTGGGGCGGGGATGAGGTCTTGGGGGAAAGGGTGGAGTGGGGGTGGGGTCTGCGGTGGCACCTGGGGGGAGTACCACCCGGCACACTGGAAAGTCGGCGCCTATTCTAGAGACTTCCCAGGAACAAAATTTCAAATCCCAGCAAGGTCAGCTAAACCCTAAATTCCCTGCCATTTAGGAGGGTTTGTCTTTCATTATAATATAAAGTCCTATCTGCTCTGCCTGGACATTAACAATCCCATGACTCTTTTCATAAGTTTAGGAATTTGTTCCAGTGGCCTTGACTAAAACTACCCTTACTGTCACTGATGTACCACGTACAGATTGATTTCCATCCTCCATCCCAGAAGTAATTCAGTAGTGACTAATAATTATCTGCTCCCATTGAATTAGATAGCAAAATTCCCATTGACTTCAAAGGAATTAGGCTAAAGTAGATTGTCAGGTATTCCCACTGGGATTCTTTGAGATATAATGCAATAATTTTTTGAGGTGAATAGGGATACCAGAGGGATGTTCTAAAATGAGATGCTAATCAAGGACCTAAACTTGCATGAGGAGGCAACTCACATGAGGAGGAAGGGTTTGCAGGGAAGAGTCTGAAGTTTCATATGCTGACAAATATTGTGCAGAATTGCAGATAAACTAAGGATATCTCAAGCACGCCTGTCTGCATGTGATTAATGCCAATACTCTTAAAACTACAAGTCTAAATCACAGTAAGGGAAATAAGAAGTTTATTACATTGATCTAATGGCTGAACTGATTTTTATTCTAGTTAATGCTTCTGTAAATTTACATGACTCATTCATTATCTATGACATTTTGTACAAATACATTCCCAAATTATTTCAATTTATTGTTACATAAACAACATTTATGGCTAGTACAAGCTGGATGGGCTGAGCATGTTCAGATCAGCCATGCTTTATATTCCATAACTCAATGACACATTTCTGGTTTTATATTTTATGTTTGAACTCACCCCATCAAGTTTGATATCTCCCTCAAAAAGGTTCAGTCCTAAAGCTAAAAAGTAAGAGATGATTAACATTCAGACATTGTACTGATTTCTCACTGTTGCAATGAAACTTTCAAAATATGAAAAAGAAAATTAAAAAATAACCTTCATTGATGTCCAAGATATCTCGATCAATTCCACCATCTACATCTACTTCTGAAAAACAAAAGACAAGTGACATAGGACATTAGTCTTTGCTATTATCTTTATGAAGTGTGAAAATTAATGTAATAACGATAATAGTAATTATAAATCTGTCCCTGCTGTGTCTGAGCTGCTGTTTTTGTTGGCTGCCTCCAGTGCACTCAAATAGAACTCTAAACAGAACTCACCAAATGACTCTGGAGTAGGCTAGTGAGGGAAAAAAAAAAGAGAGATTATCAGGATGCACAAAATGAAAGGCTACGAACATTATTCTTTTAATAATATTACAGATCCAGCTTGAGCTCAACTAACAGCATTTATTGCTGGCCACTTTCAGTGTGTTTTAATAGGCTACAATCAGGTTGCACTGGGAACCATGTGGCTGTTTCTGTGTTCCATGCACTCAGATGTTCCAGTATAGAGTATAGACTAGATAAGCCAAGAGATCCTTTCCAGCCCAATCTTCCCTGATTCTATAATGTCAATAGCCCTCCATTAAATACTAAAGTTTTAGGACCTAGGGGTGACAGTGGATGAGAAGCTGGATATGAGTCAGCAGTGTGCCCTTGTTGCCAAGAAGGCCAATGGCATTTTGGGATGTATAAGTAGGGGCATAGCGAGCAGATCGAGGGACGTGATCGTTCCCCTCTATTCGACATTGGTGAGGCCTCATCTGGAGTACTGTGTCCAGTTTTGGGCCCCACACTACAAGAAGGATGTGGATAAATTGGAGAGAGTCCAGCGAAGGGCAACAAAAATGATTAGGGGTCTAGAACACATGACTTATGAGGAGAGGCTGAGGGAGCTGGGATTGTTTAGTCTGCAGAAGAGAAGAATGAGGGGGGATTTGATAGCTGCTTTCAACTACCTGAAAGGGTGTTCCAAAGAGGATGGCTCTAGACTGTTCTCAATGGTAGCAGATGACAGAACGAGGAGTAATGGTCTCAAGTTGCAGTGGGGGAGGTTTAGATTGGATATTAGGAAAAACTTTTTCACTATGAGGGTGGTGAAACACTGGAATGCGTTACCTAGGGAGGTGGTAGAATCTCCTTCCTTAGAGGTTTTTAAGGTCAGGCTTGACAAAGCCCTGGCTGGGATGACTTAACTGGGAATTGGTCCTGCTTCGAGCAGGGGGTTGGACTAGATGACCTTCTGGGGTCCCTTCCAACCCTGATATTCTATGATTCTATGATTCTATGGCACTTATGTCCTACCATCACATAGATCTACCTTTAAAAAATATATTATTGCATAGTACAATGGCTAACCGATACAGGTATGCCATGGGAATGATACCAAAGAATTTTCACAGACTCCATCTGCTTTTGAAGAATCCGATCTTGTAAACTCTTACTCACACATGTAGCCCTCACTTACATGGATAAAGACTACCCCCACACAAGTAAGGGTTGGCAAGCTCCAACTCAGCTTGCATAGAATACATAGTTGTCATCCTGTTCATTTTCCTAGGCTTATTTAATTTTCTTTGTACATGGAGTCTGATCCAATGTCCATTGAATTCAGTAGGAGACTTTCTAGTGTCTTCAATGGGCTTTGGATCAGGCTCTTAAGTGGCCAAATCGGAGCAGTTTCATTGAGAGGAGTAAATGAGTGCAAGGTTTAGGATGAACGTAAGGAAATTAAACCAATCCTTGGAATGCTTCTTGTTAGTAGGGGTTT